GTTGCATATGCTTTATCAGCAGAAGTCGTTGATGATTTGATTCCTTCTACATTCAGGAAGCATAGTCAAGCTCTGATTCGATTAGGTGGAGGGAAGCCATGGAGGAGGAGATGCAGTCTCTACATAAGAACGACACTTGGGAACTTGCAAAGCTATCGAAGGGTAAGAAGGCTATTGGATGCAAGTGGGTGTATGCAAAGAAAGAGGGATCTTCTATTGGGGAAATTAGATTCAAAGCCAGATTGGTTGCCAAGGGATATGCACAACTAGAGGGCGTTGATTGCAACGAGGTATTTTCACCTGTTGTGAAGCATTCGTCGATTCGTATTTTATTGGCATTGGTGGCACATCTGAATTTGGATTTAGTCCAGATGGATGTGAAAATAGCTTTTCTACATGGAGATTTAGAAGAGGAGATCTATATGACATAACCTATGGGGTTCAAAGCTGCAGGAAAGGAAGAATTAGTATGCAAGCTGAAGAAGTCTCTTTACGGATTGAAGCAATCGCCGCGACAATGGTACAAGAGATTCGACAGCTTTATGATTGGCTGAGGGTACACGAGGAGCCCATATGACCCGTGTGTTTACATGCACAAGTTACAGAATGGTGAGTATATCTATTTGCTGTTATATGTTGACTATATGCTCATAGCTTCCAGGAATACTTCAACTATTAGAAAGTTGAAAAAAAAGATGTCATCCGAATTTGAGATGAAGGATCTTGGAGAAGCAAAGAAGATATTGGGTATGGAGATCGAGAGTGACAGGGTGAAGGGGAGGTTGAAGTTGACACAGAGGAGTTACTTGCAGAAAATGCTGAAGAAATTCAGTTATGATGGCAATGCCAAGGCAGTGAGTACTCCATTAGCTCTACACTTTAAGCTATCAGCTAAGATGTCACCTGTTTCAGTTAAGGACCGTGAATACATGTCCAAAGTTTCATATGCCAATATTGTGGAGAGCTTGATGTATGTGATAGTGTGTACAAGGCCAGATTTATCACAGGCCGTGAGCATGGTATCTAGGTACATGCACGACCCCGGGAAGGGTCATTGGGAGGCCAAGAAGTGGATTCTATGGTATATCAAAGGTACCGTGGATGTTGGTTTAGTATTTCAGAAGAATGAGAAGACATGGCAGGATTGTATTGGTTACGTGGATTCTGATTATACGGGAGATCTGGACAAGCGCCGGTCTACTAGCGAATATGTGTTTACACTAGCAGGAGCACCGGTATGTTGGAGATGCACACTTCAGTCTACAGTGGCTCTCTCCACTACGGAGGTAGAGTATATGGCGTTGACTAAAGCTGTGAAGGAGGCTATATGGTTGTAGGGATTATTGGAGAACTTGGGGATTACACAGGAGACCCTTTGGGTATATTGTGATAGCATGTTAGCTATCTATTTGGCGAAGAACCAGGTTTATCATGCGCGCACAAAGCACATCGATGTCAGATTCCACTTTGTTCATGACGTTTTGGATGATGGAGGCGTCAGGTTAGAGAAGATCCACACGAAGGACAACCCTACGGATATGTTGACCAAAGTTATTTCAGGAGTAAAGTTTGGTCATTGTTTGGAGCTTTTAAACATTCTTCGGTGTTGAGGTCTTTGGAGGCCATTTGGGTGAACTACGTTCGGCTTGATTCCTTGGGCAAGAGGATACGTAGGCAGTCTTTCAGATGCAACCGGTTTGGATTAGTTGATTTTGATGGGGGTGAGATTGTTTGGACTCTCGTTCAGGTTCTTGACTTGTTGTGGATTGAGTCCGTTGTCATGAATTAACTTCACGGCGTACTGGGCACAACAAGTGGGATATTTGGATGTTTTGGTGCCGGCTCAGTTTTGGAAAAACCTCGCCGAAGTGGAGAATTGTGAACGCGGATAGGAAGTGGGGCCAGACCACCCACGTGCAAGGCTTTGAAAAAGAAAACAGGGCAGAACGAAAGGCCCATCCGAGAATTGCCTATATCTAGCCTAGGGTTTCGTGTAGCAAATTGGGCAAAAGAACAACTTCGACACTTTTTCTTTTTGGAGTTGCGGCCGAGTGCAAGGTGAAAAGGCAGAGAGAAGACAGAGGTTGAAAAGCGGCTGATTCGTGGGCACACGAATTCGTGGATCTTGTGGCGGTGAACAAGAAGAAAAATTCGGCTCTCTCTTTTATGGATTTGTGCATTCTTTTGTGAGAGGTTTAAGAGATTGTGTGAGAGTTTAGATTGTGTGATTGTAAACCCTATTTGTATTCTCCCTCTAATAGTAGATCTCCTCCTCCTTGCCCCGTGGACGTAGGTAATTTGCCGAACCACATAAAATTTGTGTTCTTACCGTGATTTGTAATAGCTTGTAGGTTCCCTCGATATTTCAGTCTTAGAACTGATGAGAGGAAGAGCTGATATCTCACTTTGATGAGATATCTGGCTTTTGGTTCTTGTTTCCTTTGAGAAACGAGAATTTCGTTGTGATCTAATCTCTTGTTGTGCACCTTGCGCACCGGAGGTGCTGCCGAAATTTCCGCTGCGCACAACAACTTCCTCAAAAAAAGTGAACGAAGAGGAACATCTACCATTTCCGGTACTTCAAAAATATGTGAAACAAGCAAAAAAATATTACTTTTGTTACTTCCTACTTCATAATTTTAGAAGTTAATTATTTGATCTGCTTCTTTCTTTCAATGTTTCTTGTCATCTAAACATGTTCTAAATTACTTTATCAAAATTAATAGACTATAACTGATTTAGGATTTAAGCCGCAGTTACCACATGCGTCATATCGAGTAACAATGAGATATGCGTATAATCACGTTGGTTTTTTTTTTCTTTTCATAAATTCAGATTGCTATGAATTCAAGCTTTTATAACTTTTACTTAACATTACCAAATACGCTAATATAACTACAACAATCAAAAACTGTTTTAGAGTTCATTATCGGGTTCGGGATCATATCCAAGTCTGATAAAATATCCTAATACTCGGATCAAATTATCCAGATTCAGACACCATTTACGCTCCTAGGTGCCAAGAAACAACACATGAAACATGTGACTCACATATCAAGATGAATAAATACAGATGAGATACAGGTATAATGATGTCCTCTTTTAGTAAATACCAATTGCAATACGGATTCAAGTTCAAATTAAAAGATGACATTCCACTCGCACAACAAAAGCAAAAAAAAAAAAAATAAATACATTTAAGATTGATTGATCCGTAACACGCATTAATTTGGGGCGGGACTCTTGTGTTTTTGGTTCAAGTGTAGGGGGCTTTAGATCAACAATACGAGGCCTCCAAACAGGGGTGGGCAACAGGGCGAGCCAGTCGTGCGGGCTTAGTGGCGAGACGAGATGGCCCACGTCAGGCAGCGAGACAAGCGAGTCAAGTTGTGTCGTTTGTTTGTGGGTTTAGACCTCAGCTCAGCTCACTCGGGGGGACAAGATTAAGTGAAGCGGGCTGTGGCACGTGTCGTCCCGCGCGGCCCATCATGTATTATTTTTTATTTTTGGATTTTGTAAATTTTTTAAAAAAATTTTAATAGTTTTTAAGCATTGTTTAACATTAAAAAATTATATGCAATTAACTAACAATGCAACAACTATAGAAATGAAAAATATTTTTATTAACTAAAATTGTATATTTGTACAGAATGACAGAGAAAAACATCGCAATTACGAAGATTTTACATGGTACGGAGCAAGTCCAACCCCTCGGGCAACAATTAATTGCTCCACAAGTTTAAAATATATAAGAATAAATTACAACAAACTTTAAGCAAATAAAAATGGATAAAATATATCAATTTGTAATAGAGTTCAATGTTAATGATTGTATAGGCAAATTTCCAAGTGAAAAAAATTGTAGGCGAGCAGCGAGCCAGCGGTCTGGATTCAGTGAGCCAACCCGGTCACATTCAGACCCAGCTCGCTCCCTAGACTCTGTGGGCCGAGCGAGCTGCCGGCTTGCTTATTGCTAAAGCTTTGCCCAACTCGAACCCGTGGCTCGCTACTGTAGCAGGCTGAATCTATCTCGCCCCGCATGGACCAAGTAGTCGTGCGGAGCAGGCTGAGTTGTGCGGAGATCAAACGCCGGCCAAGCCAGCAGGCTCATGGGCTGACCCGTCCGAGCGCCCACCCCTGCCTCCAAATGAGAGGAATTCTAAGAGGAAAAAAACTCTGTATAGACATGCGACGAGCACTAACAGGCTTAGGTCCAAAAGAGAGGGGAGCATCGATGAGAGCAGCAAAGCAAGAAGAGCGAAGCTTGATTAGCTCGACTTTGCCATCTTTCTTTGAGTTTTTCAAGATTAAAGTTTTATAGGTTTCTTGGTTTTTATAGCACGCAAGAAGCAATACACATCATAAAAACTAGATCTCTTTTGCTTTTATCGGGGCGGTTTTAACGCTCAACGTTTTGCTGGAATTAGATGTGTGTATGGTTACATAGTTTATTTAAGGGGTTTTTCGACAGATGCCCCTCAACTCTTCTATATTTGCAAATTTACCCCTCAAAGTTTGGTATTTGCAAAGTTGGCCCCCAATTTTCTCTCATTGGATTTCTTTTTTCCCCTCCCACTAAACAATATTAGTTTGTAAATTTCTAAATCAGGCAATGTCACAATAGTCCAACAATTTCCAATAGGTTCGTAATATTTCTGTTTCAAAACTAAAACCCGTCAATTGGAAGGGGTAGAAAAACTTAACATAAGAGAACTCAAATACCAAGATTTGAGGGGTAAATTTGCAAATTAATGGCTATAGAATCGACACGTTCATGCGTTAACATAAAATGTAAACTGTTTAAATTAAACCCCACATCTTCATTATTAATTTGCACCCAAAACTATTTAAGTTGTTTCCTATTAAACACACAAGACAAAGGGAAATGGGAAGGGTAAAGATACCCATTAATACTGAAAGCCGCAAAAATCTGTCCCCTCTAACCAAAGCCTATCCAACATATCATATGACACAAACATGATTAACCCCAAAAATAAATATAGGTAAAAACATCAAAAACTGGTAAACAGTTGAACAAAAAACCAGTATCACGTACATTTCATTCCCAGGAAGGGAAAAAACATATTTACAAGCTAATTTAGGCCCTAAATACCGCTTTAATTTACAGAGAGAGATGCAGAAGCTGCCCATGAACATTAAAAACCAAAACAGATGAAAAATATATACATGAAGCTAATCAAAAAGAAGCCGACGCCTCACAGATTTAGGTAACGTATGATCTAAATCAGTGGATGTCTTTCTGTTCTTCTTTGGCTGCCCCTCAATAACTGAACTTTTTTCTGCATTGTCGCCAAGCTTTAGTTGAGTCGATGATTTGGCGGAACGATAAAATTGGGTGATGCTAAGCTGGACAGCATTAGATTCACCATCAACAGGTTCAGTCATGCTCACTTTCCTCTGTTTTGATTTCAATTCTTTTATTCTCTGCAGCATATTAGAAGGATAAATATAAGAATAGACGTAAAATAGCCATAGATCAATAAAACATAATTCATAACTGAGTTGAGCTAGGCCCCTATTGGGAGTATCCAATGTTCTAAATCTATAACTCCAAATTTAACATTTGAGTTTCCAAAACAGTACATTTGGATTAGATTAGTACAATACTTAGAAACAAAATTATCAGTGATTTCAGACATATTTTTAATCATGCATCATGAGGTAAAGTTAACTGATTTATGAAATTTCAGAAACATTTATTTTGATAGCATCAGATACAGGGAATAAATGTTGAAATCCATCTGAGGTTTAATCTCTAAGTAGTTAGTTGTAATGAATAAAACAACATAGAATTTCAACTTAGTCTGAATATTAAAGTTGGATCTATAGTATCTTTATCTTTGGATATACCAATTGTAGCCTAGCTCAACTCTTCAGAGTTCACAAGTTCTGTAAAATATACCTTTAGTTTGATCTTATGCATACATTTGGGCATTGACAGTTTGATACACGTATTAAAGTTTGGAGGTGCCAAACCAAACAACCATAATATACTTTTAGTTTTGACGTAAAGAAGGGCTCTTTAAGATGTCGATAACCATAGGGACAAGCATCATCAATCATATTCTTATCCACACCCACATGACGTAATATCAATTCAGTTAATAAATGAACAGTGACTAAGCCCATACTTGAGCTTTTAATGGTAAAGAAAATCCCATAACATAAACTTTCGAGTTTTCCATACCACTTCCCCAAATTCCTATGCAACCTCTCACAACTCAATCCATTTTTTTTAATTAAATCAACCAAACTTACAAATATTTTAACAAGAATCATATAGAGTAATGATGGGTGAAAGGTACATACATAAAGCCTAAACAAAAGCAAGCAACAACCCTCTGCGTAGAAGACCTAAGGACTTCAACCGCTTGGTTCCTCTTTATATGCAGCTGCTTAATTTGTTACCACAGGGTTTTGTTACCACAGGGCTTTTATCATTGAAGTGTCCAGAAATGTAGAAACACCAGAATTTTCTTTTCGGGCCAACAAAAACCATTCAGTTAACTGCAACATATAGCCTACGTTTCTGTACTAAGTTACAATGTCTAAGCAAGTCTATCCTACGATTGCATGTAGTCACATATAATTTCATCATTTGTGTTTGGAAATAAAGATGTCTTTTTCCAGAAAATAACTGGGAAGACTTGTTGCTGGAAACCGAAAATCAAACAGAGCCTAGAAAAAACAGAATTGGCCTGTGCTCTTCTCAAGTGACAGAAACCTAAGCGATAAACTCGGTGGCTACTTGATGGCAAGAAAACAGCAAATAATCTAATTAATCATATTTAAGGATGACTGCTCATTTGACATATTGAGCAGCAATGAACATGTTGTGTGTGTATGCTCGCGCGCATGTCAGTCGAACTAATTGCAGCTCACATGTGACTATCACATTAAAAGGGGGCAGAGGATTATTATATGGAAGTATACAAATAATTCTTCGTAATGTGCATCGCAAAAAGTTAGTTAGGGGGGCATTCAATTCAAGGGGCGGGAGGTGCCACAATTTTCCTTAATATATCCAATTTTGGATAGCGTCCAGTATGATATGAACCCAACTAAGGGGTGTTCGGATATAAAGTAGCATAAATGTGTTTAGTAGAAATAAGAACTCCACTCATGTTACAAATGGAATTGATCAGTTTTTTCCCTCCTTTGGCTGCAACTAACACATGGAGTCACTCAAAAGAACGCACTTATCAGTTTAAAATTAGCAGCAAGTTAACATCAAAGTTCAAAAAAAGGGATTACATAACGCGCCTTAACGCGTTTTATAACTTAAGGCGAGCTTCATGTTACATAATTAAGGGATATAATGCATACACAATATAACGCAGCGTTATTTTGGAAAAAAAAAACATAAAAAAGGGCTATAACGCGTTAATTTCATAGCCCAAAATAACCCACATTAGGTGCACTTGGATTTTTGGACACATGGATTGGATATCCACTGTCTATTATATAAAAAACCCATCCCTTACTTCTTTTCTCTCACTCGAGCTCTCTCTCACACCAGCTCTCTGCATGCCACCTCCCAAAACCCTAATTCCCTCTCTCACCTGACTCTTATAGTCTGTCGCCGC